CGAGGGAGTTGGCGATTTTGGTTATTGTCTCAACTTCGCACATTTTGAATTTTTTGAAAAAATGCTATTTGTTTTTATTTGTTAACCAGAAAATGGAAAATTGGGAAGCTTTTTCGCCTTTCCACGTGAAGATAAATATTTACTAACAGCTGTTTAACGAGCTTTGCCAGATTGTTTAAATGCTAGCGGGCGCTTTATTTATGCGGTGATACCATCTTTGAACGAAGAAATCGTAGTGAAAATTATTTCGTTCGCCGTGCTATTTGTAAGTGAACGAAGAATTATTTGTTCGCCTTGCGCCTACACTAGTGGGTTTCGAAAGAGTGCTCAATCAAATTAAAATAAATATTTTATTAAGTAAATTAAAATATTTCATTTGGTGATCACACATAAAAATATTTTCATTCATGCATTTGTAATGTACATATGTATGTACATATACATAACTGAAGCGGCGTTTACTCCATTTGACTGCGACTACCTGATTTGTGAGTTTGTGTGAGCGCCTCATAGGTGATGTCGTACTGTAGTAGGAATATGAATATGGTGGAGGTGCCGACAAGTAGCTAAATAAAAATTTTGTAAACAATTTTATTTGGTTTCTAACTTTATGAAAGTTATGTCTGAGCACTTACTGATGTGATAAAGTTCATATTTAATTCTACCACACCACAAACAACATTAGTTCTCGTATTTATAATCAATTGCAATATGAAGTGTGTTATCTGCAATTAATTATTAAAAATAATTTTAACACATTTTTAGAAAATTGTACGGCAGACCGTTTCTTCCATTTCCGAGTTCTGTCCTTCTATTTCATTCATTATTAATGCTGTACTGTTTTTCTGAAAAAAAAAAAGAATAATACTTTTAAATAAATAAAGTTTTTTTTTTCATCAGCCTTGTAACTGGATAAATATTTCTTTGCCAAGTAATATATACGGTCTGTAATTCTTAACCGCGGCCGCTGTGGTGTAGTGGTCAAAGCAACATCACAACAAAATTTAGAGAGGTTTTTTCATAACAGCGGTCGCCCCTCGGCAGGCAATGGCTAACTTCCGAGTGTATATCTGCCACGAAAAACAGCTTCTCATAAAAATACAATCGCCGTTCGGGGTCTGGGTAAAACTCTAGGACTCCCCGCCGTGTTGTGTAACAACATCAAGGCGAACCCCACAAATTGGAGGACAAGCTCGGTCAAACACGAAGGTTGCAGACAGAGTGGAAGCGAAGTCGACGATGAAGATGAAGACGGATCCGAAGCCGAATTGTTTGCGTTGCGGCCAAGCTGGCGAGTGTTCATAGTGGAAGATCAATGATATGAAGATTTGTTTCTAAATCAAACCTTTTCTTTTATATATGTAAAATCTAAAGAAAATAAAGAAAAAACAGCTATTCATGAAATAATTTGTATAGGACAATTTTTGGAGAATTTCGCCACTTGTATTATGTGTTACGGCAAGACGGACAGACATTTTTCGAATTTACAAGTATGCCAATTAATACGTTTGATTACATTTTGCCAAAAAATTTTGCGAATTTTCTTGAAAAACGCGTTTTTCACAATTGCAAACAGTTAAATAAAATGTAAACAACTCATCACAGCAGGCGATTTGTCTTTGAAAATAGTACCGCACAGTTTCAAGCTGACTGCTTGCGCAACCGTTGTTGTTGTTGTTGTAACGGCTACAACAACCCCGCCCAGGACGGTTGGTATCTCAGTCGTTGTCGTCAAGTTCCACTAACGGCAACCCTAGGAAGCTTGCAGCTTCTGTGGGGTTTGTCCACAGGGACAAGGCCGTTAGGGTTGCGCAACCGTCTTCATCTTCGTCTTCGTTTGCACTGTGATCACTTTCACATGTTTACTACAGCACTGTTTTTCATCTACGTCTTCGTCTTCATCTTCATCTTCGGCTTCGCTTCCACTCTGTCTGCAACCTAAGGCCAAACCTCTGAGAAATTTCTAGAGAAATTGCTGATGTAGAGAATTTGCGCAGTCTATGGCCATTTTAAGCCTAGACTCGCCACGTCGTCTTCTGCAGGCGGCGTCGTACTCGCTGTTATTATTGTAGCAGCTACTTAGTCCTGTCTAGTTCGGCTTGTCCCTCAATCCCTCAATTATTGCCGTCAAGCGCAACTAACGGGAGACCCAGGAAGTGTNAGAGAAATTGCTGATGTAGAGAATTTGCGCAGTCTATGGCCATTTTAAGCCTAGACTCGCCACGTCGTCTTCTGCAGGCGGCGTCGTACTCGCTGTTATTATTGTAGCAGCTACTTAGTCCTGTCTAGTTCGGCTTGTCCCTCAATCCCTCAATTATTGCCGTCAAGCGCAACTAACGGGAGACCCAGGAAGTGTGCCATTTCAACTGGGTTGGTCCCAAGGGAGAGAGGCCCCCCTACTCATCTATAATATGGGATGGCGTCTTCCTTGTCAAGTCGCAACACCGATAAAGATGATTGTACTATATCCCATATATTGAGATGTTCTCCTAGTCTGCAGTGTCTTGTAAAAAGTTTTCGTTTTGCGAGGCTGATTAAATGATTGTACTTATATAGCTTTGGTTTTCTATTGCCTCCCTCTCTGCTTTGCTTTGTATCTACCTCCTTCTCTTCATGTAAATTACCGAAGTATGTATTTGAGTCACACCACACAAGTTCGATTAAGATTCGTTCTTTGCGTCTTTATTGGTATAGGAAGTACACTCAATCGACGTTGATCTACTAATGGTTAGTTAACCCTTGTGACTTAGCATGATACAGTATACGTCTAGCATTCTCTGAGCTGGCTTGCTGTGTATTTACATATGTATGTATGAAGACAAGATTATATTAGCCTACTGGGTTCTATTTAGTACAGAGATCTGCAATGAGTCCTAATGAAATTAGTACACTTAAGTCATAATCCATAAAATTTGGTGCAAATGCGTACTGATACTAACTCTAAAAAATACTATGACTAAATAATTCAAAACAAAACCAAAAACTAACCATATGAATTATCAATTTATGACTCTATCGAGTGTAGGCAATGAATTTTTTAGTACCTCCTGCAAATAATTTGAATACACAAACTTTCTTTGAAGATATAAGAAGAATCTACTAATGCCTTTCGTCGTTCATCCTGACTACCATAAAGTACGAATTTACCCCCGTATTGAGAAACCGAATCCGCCTAGCATGCTTTAGAAAAACGTAAGTTTTAAATATAACTACCAAACACCAAATTACACTACCTGACTCTGTACACCATAATTAAAATAAAGTATGCAGAACATTTTGCCAATATGCATGCTTGTCCAAACCAACGAGTACATAATCCATGAAAATGTGGAGTTAGACGCATCGTCCAAGTATTTGTACAACAGGAAAAGATTAACCGACAAGTTTGTGAAGGATCCAATGTACACCAACACCAGTGAGAGGGCAAACGAATTATTTACTTCCTTTGTGAATATCTGAAGTGTCGAGTAGCTTAATCGAATGTCTTGTAGTTTTTGGCGCAAAACTCTGGCAGACGTTTTTAGCGAAAGCTCCGCGTGCAGGATTTCATTCAGCCGAATTATGCGTTGAGCTATGGCATATAGCAGGGTGTAGTACTGTACCAGCGAGAAGC